TGTGTAATTTGGCGGGCAATATAGGTTATACAGTAAGTCAATGGACAAATATTTTAGCCCGCTCTGAAAAGTCAATGGCAAAATGCGTGTTAAACTAGTGCGCAATAATGTAGTGCCAGTTGTAATTTACATCGCGCATCAGCTATTGTAATTTACATCGCGCATCGTGTATTAGAAAATGCGCACTTTGCGCGAACTCCATTGTGACGTAACAATCACACCCTAGGCAAACTGTTTGCAGTGTATCGAAAATCTGTCAAACACTGGATGAACAGTGCTGGTTTGACAATGTTTTTGCAACTTCTAATGCTAGGAAACCCTGTGTAGCCTACATAATTTAAGAGTATAAGATAGTAAGAGTTTCTTGTTTGCTCTAGATGTCTGATGTGGTTAATAATAGTAATATTGACTGCCTAATTCAGGGCAATACGACTTGTCATATATCACCCTCACCTTCGGTTCGGGCGATATATGTCGTATTGCCCAGAAGGCAGTCAATATTACTTAAATATCTTAACCCAGAAAGGCCGGGCTATTTGAGGTCTTAGTACGGCCGGGGGCCATTATGGCCCCCCCCCTTAAGATCTCGGCCGCGAAGCGGCCGGTCGTCGCGAAAATTTGCACGCATGTCAAGTGAAGTGTAAAGAAAAATATGATAATTTCAATTTTTTGAAAAATTCATTCATTTGCATATTTATGGTAATTTATGCAAATATAGTCATAAAAATCACATTTTTACCCATAAATCATATATTATTCATATTTAAGCATTCTTTTTAGCTACATATATTCATTAGACCATTTTGAATAATAATACAACAAAACAATTTGGAAGAGCCAGCTTATTCCTTATGTTATCCCTTGTTTTGATAATTTCTTATGTATTTCATTGTTTTTTTTACTTATGTAATTCATTATTTTTGTTGTTTTATTTCATTTCTTACTACATTTCAACTATTTTGACTCCCAAAACAACCACCTAAACTTTAAATAAGACCCAATTACCCTTGTTTGATCTGTTTTTAGGAAAAATGACTTTTCAATATGTTTTGTACACAAATCACGAAAATGAGCGATTTTCGGGCTGACATGCAAAGACAAAAGGTCACGTGACCTTGTAACCGTAGGTCCGATTTTCAAAAAAAAATCTTTTAAAAGTTGCGCAACACTCGAAAGAAAAAAGTCAGCGAGCGACGGGGCGCCATCCATATGTGTTCCCGAGCAATCAGAAAAATCGTGGAGGGGGAGGGGGGCATAATGCCCCCCCGGCCTTATTAGGGTTAATAGAATCTGAGAATTCTTTTGTTATTGCTGTAATATAACTTTATACACGAACCCCATGATTGGCATCTAATTTCTGTATTAAATTTGGAAATCAAGAAATTCTAGCCTCTCATGATATTCAATATTGATTACAGTCATAAGCTAATAATTGCATCATTTTCTGAAGCGTATTCGCTGTCATGGCTTTTCAGAATTGTACATTTTTAGTTAAATGTTTAAAAACCTAAGTATACTATGCCTTTCTAAAATGCATCTGAATTGTTCTCTTAGGCTGATAGTAAGTTTACTGGGTTGTATGAGATTTAAATATAAGGGTTCGTTCACATACTGCCTCGCTTAAAGATGAATACAAGTCTTACATTTTATAAGGCCTTTCTTGGAGTCAGGTTTCTTGGTTGCTTAGGAATTATAGCACATCAGGTAACTAACTAAACCTTACCCAAGCTTTCTCTTTAACAGTGTTCTTGCCTTCTACTCACAAACGTTCCCACCCAAATAGACTTTAGAGATTAGTGACAAAAGGCAACCACTTTCCCATCGGCCCGGCGTTTCAAAATCAAACAGACTTGTATATGGCCGAGTCAAAAGGATAACACAAGAACCTCTTAATGTGAAGACCAAACTTAAGCGATCGCAAAGTTGTCTTAGTAATTACACTCAACACGTAGAATGAAGGAGACATGGTGAGTGTGTACATTGCTAATTCGCTAACACCATTTTGGCCCTCTTGTTCTCCATCTCGTGTTGGCACAATTTCCAGTGGTGCTCCACATTCTTGGAGGACACTTGTTAGGCTTGGTGTGATGGTCCGAGAAGGACAAACATCAAAAAGAAGTTTAGCTGATGTAAATCAAGATGTAATCAGCATGCAGCTAATTGATTGAATACATTTCCAATCTCACTTAGATAGGTATCCTTTCAGGTTACTCTTATAGATGTTTCGATCAATGCCTATGCATTGGCCGAAACATCGTTTAAAGTCTAAAGCTTTAATATTTGATATCATTATTATAAATTGTCAATCATTATTATCATCATTATTTCTTCTTTTTACGATTATTGTTATTATTATTATCATCATCATCATCATCATTATCTTTGTAATGGATGTTTTTTCTCGCACAATTTGTATTTCACATGGTTTTGATAACTAAATTAGTGAAATAAAGTTGGACCCGCCTTTCAATGGGGTATCTGTTATTTTAAAAGTAATAATATCACGAATTTCTGAGTGGTCTTGCCGTCTAAAATGGAAATCTATAAATCTATAAATGTATTGAAAATAAAAATTTGATCATGTTTTTCCGAAATGATTACGACATCTAAAAATAATATAGATATTATTAGAGGTGACTGAATTTCGGAATTTTTTTCTTACTTTTTATATAACTATTAGAGTATGAATATGACATTGTGCTACGTTATGTTTATGGCATTCTTAGTGTAGTTTTTACCACCTTCCCATGCTTTCCAAATTGCAGTTTGTTACATCTCATAACTATTTTCATATTTGTTACCGCCATCTTCAGTGTATTCTTTACTGCGATGGCCTCACAATCTTTAACGTAATTAACCTCCACCATAACCAAAATAATCACTTTGCGATCTCTACATTTTTTTTATCATTCAGCATCACCGTCATCATCATTAACACCATCAACTTAGTCATCAACAACATGATTATCATTAACAATGATGTCATTGTCATCAACACCAATATGAACGTCATGTCAACTCTATCAATACTATCATTATTCTCATCATTTTTAGCAACATTATCAACTTCGTCAACCTTAAAATCATCATCATCATCATCGTCATTATCATCATTTTTATCCTAACCAACATCATCACCATAGCCAATAAACTCTTCGATAGTTAAAAACAAAGGACAATTGAAACATTAATCATATTTTCAGTATATACAAGTTTGCTTTTTATTTCTAATATCTTTGGAATCATTCTCATAACGTCGCATATCTTTCAATACTGATCAAATATTCAAGAAAATCAATTGCTGTAGTTCTTGTTCGAAACAAGTCTGTTTTCTCCACACATGTACAAAATAAATAAATGTTTTAATATGATACACCTCATAATAATTGATATCCCATTTCACCTAAATATACAGTTACGACCATTGGACACATATCTTGATACATCTAATCTTGCACTGTTTCTAATAATCTATTAGACTAAAGAATACAAATCAATGAATATTTCATACAAATGCTATCTTTGTCATGACAAAACTTGCCGGTGAAATACACAGACACATATACGGCCATTTATATTAAAATATCTGGACCTCTAGCATAAACAAATCTTTAAAAGAAGGGACAGATATCTTTTTGTTTAAATAAGGATACATGATACGCCCGTAAAGCATAAGTGTTGTCAAAGTTTCAAATTTAGCAGCATATTAAACAATTTCAATTTCAGCCATTTACCACAGGTTTCAATATAAGACTTGTTTTCCCCGTTCCAATTAGGTTTATACTTAAATATCAGAAATTTTTACAAACTGAAGTTCAATACTTTTTGAGGAGAAAACATCATATAAAATTTCACAAGAGATCTACTACAAATTACTTGTTTTTATATAGCTAGTGATCTTGGTGTTGAAATGACTCCTTTTCAAACATGCCTTTAAGTCATTCTTGAAAATTGTTTTGATAATTTCATATAGGCCTAACCCTTTTTTAGATTGTTACATGGCATAGTTTTTACCGTGAAAATAATGATTTTGATCGTTGTGCCATGAGCATATACCGTGGTGTTAGGTCACGTTGGCACGTGACTAACTACGTCATATCTTTTCCGTTCACAACGCTGTAAATATGATCTGTGAAGGAGTACAGAAATCACGATATGTTACGTCACCATATACGTACATACCTTGAATTTTTTTGCCGAGCTTTCAATGTACATCTTTATATCATGGGGTATTAACATTTGGATGTGCAAGAAAATCTGAAAATAGTATAGGCCTACATTATAAAAAATATAGAACTTGATTAAAATGTATCGGTTAACAAAAATACAAGAAAGTAATCAAAACGATAAGGATGAACAAATAATTATGTTGATTTCATCAAGCATAATATTGACAATTTATGCATAGTCATCAAAATAATAATAATGATAACAACAAAAAAACTTTTACCTTGTCATAAACTTTATAGTCAGAAAAGGGTGAAACCAGTGACTAACTGCAATATTATATGAATGGCAAATGATTTTGAACAATCTTATGTCAAGGAGTACTTCTATTATATTCTGTAAAAGGCCGGTACATTCAGAGGGAGATTCACATTAATGTTCAAGGTTTGACAAAATGTCTCTTTCTTGGTTAGATTTCAAGGATTCGTTAGTTATATCCATTACCAATGATACCGTATTTGAAATGGAAATTGTCACTCGTAATTTCATGAATGAAAAGGAAAACAAGGAAATACTTTCAAGCAAATAAAGGCGCTTACCAAAATTGATATACGTCAACTTTTCGAACTTTAATCCCACTAAAATATTACATAACAACAATGTAAAATTGCTTTCCAAAAGCTCGAGGACATGGCCAGAAATTTGTAAATTTAACTTGAGGCAATTTACCTAATAATAAATTAAGCATTGTGTATCTTGCCAAAAGCCTTTCAACTGGCTTTGAACTAGTACTACATTTCAATGTTCCATTTTCATGGTATATTTTCTTTGGTATAATGTAGAGTTTATCATGATGTTAGACATCACAAATCGATCGTTCTCAAGATACAGTTCAAATGATCTCATTCGTGTACCGTATATTCGCTCATATTATCATGTTAGTAAAAAGATGTTTTTCCACTTGACTTCTCTATCCACTTTCACAGAGCATGTATTTCAGTAGTAACCGACTTAACTTGTAAGGGACCAGTTACAATTTTTTTAAATTTGCATGACTTATCGCGATAACACTTGATATCGCATCATGATATCATTTTCTGTATGTTACATCCTCTCTCTCTCTCTCTCTCTCTCTCTCTCTCTCTCACTCACACACATACCTCATCATCTTGCTTGATATCGATGACTCCGATATTTGTCCATATTGGTTTGATCATTTATCAAATTTGTAAAACAAAAAGTTGAAAAATTATTATTTCATTTGAGGTCCTTCAAGGAAATCTCATGAGCAGAGTTTTTGAGTCTTAAAGGATAATTTCTGGTGTCTCACCACGCCCATGGTTGTGCCATTGAACCTGTATACTGCATGTTGTTAGCCATCGACATGTTACTAAATGAGCTGTAGTTACTATTGTATGGTGCGGTCACTGTTGAATAGCTACAAGGTGACGGGTAATGTTGCATGTGTTGTAGAGATTGTGGCGCCGTCACGGCGGCCGAGGACGCTAGCATCGAATCTTGGTGGTGGTGATGGTGATGATGGTGGGACTTTGCCGCTGCTGACATACACGCTGATGCTGCAGCCGCTGCTGCTGCTGCTGCTGCTCCATGTGTGCCCATGTTGGCCCCATTCATACCACCCAGGCCTGCATTGCAGGGTTTGCCGTCCCTCACCAGGACTGGTACGGCAACGCGTCTCGGAGAAGGTAACGGATTCAAGTCCAAGCCTTTCTCCTGGCGGGCTCGCTTCAGCTTGTAGCGGTGGTTCTGGAACCAGATCTTGACTTGCGTCGGCGAGAGACGGATAATGCTCGCCAAGTGTTCCCTTTCTGGTGCTGATAAGTATCTCTGCTGTCGGAATCGCCTCTCTAGCTCGTAAGTCTGGGCTTTGGAGAACAGGACGCGTCGCTTTCGTTTCTTGGGTGGGTCACCTGATGATGGCGATGACGTGTCGCGACTCGCCGAGTCCCCGTCCTTGTCAGAAGCAACGGAATCGAGGTCGTCATCGTCATCTTCGTGAACCTGAGCGGATGCCGTAGTGGAAGTCGGTGATGTGGCGATGGATGAGGTGCTGTTGTGAGATACCGAGTTTTGTGCCAAAGCTGCAAAGAAAAAGAAAACGATAAAGAGAAAATGTTAATGTCACAAGCGAAAGCAATGCCACTCCCTGCCCTCAAAAAGTCCTGATAAAAATGCCATGATAAAATGTAAAATTCTGTATCCATCATGCAAGCCACACATTTCTTTAACAGAGCCAAATCCCTACGTGTATACATCTTGTCTTTACTAGATCGTCTGATAAAGAAACTAGGTTTCAGTAAGAACACATATCTTCACCCTTAGCATTGCAATTGATGTAAAGTTTACTCTATGATAAGCCCAATGAGAGGGCAAGTGCAATGAGTGGTCTGTCGTTCTGTTAGCTTTAATTGCCACAATACAAACAATATTATGATGATCATGGGGGGAATAAAGACTGCAATTTTAGGGTCATATGGGCTCGTCAATAGCAAAATAAAAAAGGGTCTGTTTTTACAGAGGTTACCTCAACTTTCAGTCTTTTCTCACCCCGAGTCCCCCCGGTGTAAAAGCATAATTAGTTGACTTATACTGGACTATGGACACACACTTCGCATTTCATATCGTGCTAAAGGTTAGGTTGGTATGGTGATAATATTCGCGGAAAATTGTCAAATTATCATGTGAGCGGTTGATATTTTATCAAACATACGTCTGAGTTACCAACCACAATGTACATGCCTTTTTACAATCCTGTGGTATAGGTATTACGTGATTGACTTCCATAATGGTATTACAATAAACAAGTATGCATGAATTCGAATAAACACTGTTTATTTCAATATATAAAATGGAACCACGATTACCTCAAATATCATTTACATTCCGGAAGCGTGTACGGACCAGCAAATTATGCGGTGCTCGATCAAATAATAATTTTGGATTGTGTGAATATATCAATAAAATTCAAAGATTTATCGTGTTTGATAGTAATTTTTGAAATGATAACGCATGATGATGATGAGTATTAGTAGTATTAGTAGTATTATTTTCATCATTATTATTATTTTCATCATTATTATTATTTTCATTGTTCTTTTTGTTATTATTATTATTACGTGATCATCATTAGATGACATTTACAATTACCTTTTTAATAATGATTGTTTGTTTCTTTGGACATCCCAGTTTCAGCTGTATTCAATACTTCAAATTATTGTCTGTCAAATCATTGTGATTACGATAAGGCATGACAGAGAGATTGAAGATTTTTTTGAATAAAACAATGATTTAAAAAAAAAAAAAAATTAGAACTACTAAATCAAATTCGCGCTTTTATTTCCCACGAACGAATCCTCCATCAAATGAATTTAACCTCATATGCGACCAGGTATTCTCTCAACTAATTTGCTATAAATCGACCTCCTAAACGGTGTTTGTAGGTCATTAATTTTGGTATGCGCCTACACGACAACGAATGGTACTCGTTTAACTACACGATTACCTCTCAGCTGGAGAAGTAATTAGCTTTTAGTATTGTGGATTAATTCTGTCAGTGTAGACACCGTGTTTCTCGTCTTAATCTGAAGATGCAGTGTTTCTGGTCTTTACCTAAAGATACTGAACCATCACTACGGACAATATATTTTTCACTAAACGATTGATATTCTTTTAATCAGCTATGAATGCTTTGATCCCCTGTGAATTTTAGAACTAAGAATTTGTAATGAAATTTTTGAGAATATTATTGCTATACATGTAAGTGTATCCCTTTCAAAAATGAAGTAAAGTAAAAAATAAAGTAAAGAGTAAAATGGTCGTTTATACATTATCAGCATCATTATCAAAGCGCGCCACCACTTTGAAAACTTAAGCGTCTTATATATTTTTGATGAATAAAAACAAGATATTAATGTTTATATTTTGTTCTCTAAGGCAACATGAATTTAGGCGATTTAAGTCATTCAACATTTCTCATTACCTTTAAGACAATACTATTTACAAGCAGGATGATAATTACGAATATACTGAATATAAAAATGTAAACAGGGTAGAGTACACCTTGGTTCCGTACACCGCATGACATTAGACCCAGTTTTCACTAGACCCTGCACCTGTTGCGAGGTGGTCCTACATTAAATATAATCTGCGTCTTTATCAGACAAAACAGTGGTAGTTTGACCAGTAATGGAAGGAGGACAACAAGATAATGATATGAATCGTGATAGATTGAGGGCCAAGGTGTGAAAACAGGGCACGGTAGACGAGGGCTAATGACACTTCTCAGGATTAAGTCCTGTTTGAGCTAAAGATTAGAATGATATTGAGACGTCCCGGTGAATAATATTCTATTTTTCTCTCTTCTCTTGCATTTGCGTCCTTGTCTTTCGGGTATTTTGAAGAAGGTGTGAACAAGTTAATTGATCGGGGCGCAGTGACTGGCAGCGTTTGACTCCGGGAATAAGGCAAAAAGTGCACCTGCGATGTATTTACATTAGGGTTATTAATCATGTTTGTGTACATTCGTGTGCATGTCAACGCATTAACATGTCGCATGTGCAGTAAAACGCATCTTTATCGTAAAAGTCATACCGTTATGATGAAATCGAAGGTATTTGTAGCTTAAGAGTAACAAATTACTAAATCGGCTAAATGATACTCGATGAAAATGGAAACGTAAACTAAAAGTAAATATGTGGACCCTGACAATATCCTGGCAATATATCACGTTAAAAAAAAAATGATATTAACGTTAAATTTCCAATTCAAATATCTTCTGAATATTACAACGACACCTCAAGTTTATTATCTCACAAACAGCTATCCACAGATTCGTTGTATAAGAATAACAAATCCTATAAATATTATAAAGAGTTAATAACATGTTCATAATATGTATGCATGTCTATAAAATATATCGCAATAAAATTTGAATCGATGCGATCTTTTAATCTGAGCAAAGGTCATTTGCGTTTGCGTGAATAAACTCCGAACTATTTTTAATAATTTGTTATAAATACAGATCTTTCTAGATAGGCAGAGATTAACATTATTTCCGGGATTTTCATCTGTAATGGCAATTAAAATAATGTGTGTAATTATGTTAAAAGGCGTTTAGCAAAGAGATTTCCAAGCTTTCTAAAAATAAATAATGGTTGAATTGTGCAAAACATTACCTATATTGCACAGCTTCGAGTAAAATTATACCAACAGAGAAACTTCTCGCTAATATTTCTTTTTTTGTCAACTACAAGCTGTTTATTTGTTTGGCTAATAGATAATATATTATTGTCATGAATATATCCTCATTTTTTTTCTATTTCCTATTCGTTGCCCACAGCGATTTATTATAGACGTATTTATCCTTATTGATGTCGCAACTTATTCTTTCTTGTATACATAAAATGGTAAACGAATTTATAATACCAACGTATCCATTGACCACAGATTTCCATTCTTTAGTTTTGTTCTAATTTGCATTAGGTTGATTAGGTATTATAATTATAATTATATTATAATCTTGATTAGAGCAATGGCGCAATACATTGACTTCGTCTTTTACCTAGACGTGTTGGCTTTAAAAAGCAACCACAAAAAAAAAGTAATTGAAGAAAAAAAAAGAGATTATGACAATGCATAGGAAATGACTTACCAAACACTATAATTGTATTTACGTCGATGTTGAGACGAAATAAAACAACAGTGTCTGTCTGCATATTTAAAAAAATTGTGTGTAGGATTACGTATTTTAACCCAACTTATATGATTTACACACAAATATACGCAAATTAGAAGAAATTAAAGGCAGATGAACTCACATGAATAATGCACTGCATCGCCCCCTTGAGTTTGAAGCCATCTGGTATAGGGATTGTCACTCTGGTCGTAGATCGAATCCACACCCGTCTGTCCAGAGACCACCCCTGTGTCCGCTCGACCAACTCCACCACCACCTGTTGCCTGATCAGTCCCGTTATGCATCGTCTGTTTCAATGCTTCCATCTGTGAGTCTGTAAGGAATGCCTTGTCGAGCGGGAGACCGGTGATCGGGTGAGTCGCTACGCTGACCCCCGCCGCGGCGGCGGCAGCGACGGCAGCGTGTGGTAGATCCAAGATGTCTTTGACGGAAAAGCTCGTCTTGGCGGCATTCATCGCCGCATCCGTGTCTTCGAGGATGGCGGAGTTGAGAAGCTCCGCCGAGAAAAGTTTAGCGTGCTTGTTGGCGCTCTGAAGCTGACCAACGGAAGCGAAGTCCAGGGCCTGGCTATTCATGTAGGCGTGTCGGCTAGGGTGGAAACCAGGAGAAGAAAAGATATAACCAGAGTCTGGTTTAGTTTGGGGTGATATCACAGACATTTAAAAGAAATTCAATCTCTTTTAGGCGATGAAAAATCAACATTCATACAGGTATCCGTCAGATCGAAGTTAATAACAGTAATCCTGCACCATCCACTTAGAAAACATCTAATATGTATCCGCACAGTGAGTATTAGATCAGGTTCACGTTGAATACATGCGCTAATTAAGTTGCGGTGTTGCAAAGAAAAAAAAATCGAGTGTGATGAGGATGAGAATACAGGCGAGGGTAGCCGAAATGAGAGAGCTTTGGAGCTGATTTGTGAGAGACAGTGCGAACGCCACTAGCGCTGAAGGTAAAGTGTCACCAAGCTACTACGATAAGATATGACTCGGTCCATCGGCTGAATGGTTCAGAGAAACCCCCTTTGGTAATATCAGAGGCGACGAACTCTATCGGCAAACAACACACACACTCACACATTAACCCATACACACACACACGCGCACCCTCATTGGCAAATTAGACGTGGAGCTGCGATAATGGGCTATGTGGGTATACGCACGCACGTTATTCGCTCGAGTCAGGGGTAAATAAAAAAGAGGTACCAATGGCACAGTGACCGAGTGAAGGGGCGTGGCCTATGGGGGCTAAGACGCCACGAAACTTACTGCCGGTTTAACTTCATATTCCGTTGTAGATGTAGAAATATAAATAGTTATAAACATTTTTCATTTCAATTTCTCATATTGAAGATGACAACAAAAAGTATAGGCTTATCTAAGATTCACATGTCTACAAAATCTTACTCCTTATAAATCTTTTTTGTAAGTTATCACCTATCTAAAGTTTTAATATGGCGGACCAAGGAGTCTAAAATCAACCTGATTACACATCAGTATTCATATTAATAATTTTGTTTTTCCATATTGGTTGGTTTAAGTCAATTAATTCATTCAAATGGTGTGGTTACTTTAGTAACCATTTTGAGAAAAAATTGGCCTATTCACGTTGATGAACTGATAAAAAAAAAACGATATTAAAGAGAATATGTAAGTATTTCTACACCTCTTCGATCACCTTTATCGAATCCCCTAAATATGATAACGACTAGATAAAAAAAGTGTCTTTTTTTCAGTCAAGAAACAATTTTACCATATTTGAAAGTAACATTTTCTGTGTGAAAAACAAAAAAAGTTAAACAGCCTATTCTATTATTCAAAGAATGATTTTGATAGCAATATATTACAGTGGAAAGACGTTATGTTTTTTTCCTTTGAAAAGGGGGTACACTTTGACGTATTTTGGAGAAGAAAATACCGATGAAACAGTCATGATCTAAAGTGATGAGAAGGGGATTAACACGAACATTTACTGAAAAGAAAACAACTATCGACCGGATCCCGTGTCTCATAATACCAGTTCGGCATAATTGGAAAGTTCCAATTTGCATAAATGACCAAGGTCTCTGCGAGATCTCGTGTTCGTGCGAAACCAAAACACCGAGGAGCTTAAGTGCCCTTTTTTTCTTTTAAGAAAACAGGGTGAAACTTTGTTCCACCACCTGGTTTGGGTGACGTGGAGGTATCTATAGGAGGGGATATAATCATGATAATTACCAAAGAAAAACTATCTCTGCTCAAAACAAAACCTGTTTCCTTTCAACAAAATGCAGGTGTGCGCAGTGATATCCCTCTGTGTCAACTAGTTATTGTCACAAGAAGCGTTTAAAGATGATCAATAATTCTTTCTTACACATGTCAGTTAGAAGCACATTTAATTTTAATACACCCTACCGATGTTAAACTAAATGAAAACAAATACAAAAAACTGTTGCTGGTACTCATTAAAATTTGCATCTGATAATTCAGTATATTGTTTTTTTGTATATCCTCAGTGTGAAATCACCACCTGTTCGTTATTGTCATTTCATTTAATTTCACACTATTAAAATTAAAGAAAAATATTCCAAGAGTCAGGATACGGGATATACTTTTCGGATTTCGCCGAATTAAATCATGAGGCATGTATAATCGATGCGAGAGATGGTTCTTCTCGAGTTCTTTTTTCGTTTTGAACTATGGGTATCGGTTGGTTCCAAGGCCAGCCAAATCTTTTCAAAAAAGTTTGCGATCCCACCCATAATGTTTCATGATACCTCATACATGTTGAGCAGTCACGGCTACTCAAGATAATCCCACTTCTTAATCGACAGAGGAGACCATCTCGGTGTCTCATCTAAGCTTAACAACACCTTTTAAATCCCCCTATATATAGCGGTCACTGCACATGATATAAGCACGCTTCAAGACAAATCAAATAGACGAGACAGGTTTAAAACCTTATAAAGCCCTATTGGCAGCGGTTTAAATTCCTTAATTATTCTGGTCGTGTCCTCTGCAAAGACCTGGACCTTCGGATCAATCAGCCCAAATCCATTCTGTTCCCGGCCTTTTCATTTCTTATAGACACGTCAAATAATGTTGAATGTCATCTCTTTATGGTTCGCAGATCCCGTTTTCTCTACTATTGTTCCAGCATCATTGATGTCGCGAACGCTCTATTGTAAACCTTGGCGGTCAAGCATGCAGTCTAGTCTCCATGTTAAATGGATGTTTTGAGACCCTTCTTTTGGTCTTGATTAGTTTGGAAATTTCCATTATTCTATTTTATTTGATGTTTTCCTGCCAGACAAGCTTTATTCAAAGCGGCGCGGGGACGGCGACATCGATATCAACTTAAAAGCCGAATTTCTTGCCAATTTGTTGTAATAGATTAATGTGACACATTCAGTAACATAACGTTCTGGACTACATATACTGTTTTCAACGTATATTGGCTATGCTTCATTTTATTTATGTTAACGTAGCTCAGTGGTAGATCAGTGGTCTTGTAACCGGTAAGTCCAGGGTTCGAAACCAAGTCAATGCGCCCGTGCCTTTTGGTTAGGAATTAATCCTCATTACCAAGTCCCCCGGAGATGACTTAAAGCCGTCGGTCCCCTTGTTGCTTAGTTACAAGCATAGTTACAAACGTGCTTTATTAGCAGTCAGGTTAAAAAAAAAATCACCAAACATTAAGTAAGACGAATCGCACAAAATTATAACTGTAAGATTGTAAAGAATTTTGAATTATCTTGTACAATCACTGGACGCTATTGTTTTGATTATATTTCATTATATCTAAAGTAGTATTCTCCCTCATTCCCACTTTAGAATAGTAAAACTTTAAAACATTCTGTACATGTACGATGGTGGCCTGGTAGGATCCACACAGAATTTCATAATTAATGCAATCGAAATCAAATGAATGTCCTGTCCAATTGAACTTTTGTTTATTAATCAATTATTATTATAAGTATAGAACACTACCTAAGAATCTTGAAAAGAAAATATTCATTTGATATGATTAATAACAATTATGTCATAGCTAAAATCATATGTCTTATCATATCGAAGCTGAATTATTAAATCGTTTTAATGGTGCTCAGCCTTTATGGAAATTCCCAACTTGATGTTTCTTAGCAAAATATATTACGTTAAACTGTTAAAAGGTATAAAGGGGAAAGAAGTAAGGTTTGATTACTCTATCAATTAAAGAGATTACAGGTTACTGTTTAAAATATATTATAATTGTGACAAATGGCATCTTGTAAAATAGGGAGAGCTTAATAGACAGTATAATTCTAAAAGCAAGTTTTTTAATCATGGTAATTTATATCAAAATATGGTGGAAATATACAATAATTCTAAAAGCAAGTTTTTTAATCAGGGTAATTTATATCAAAATATGTTGGAAATAGACAAGACAAAATTGGCAGAGTACGTGCCGTATACAACGACACGTCGGTCGATGGTTCATTGTATCACCTGGTATTATTTTTAAACATTATTTATTGCGCCATATTTTGTACTCACATTTTTAGAAAATATAGGAGTAATTTTTATTTCTATTTCAATGCAAATTTATACTTACATCATAAAAAAGTTCCTGCAATTCAACATAATTATCGAGTAATATCTTACAAATAGGATGAATTTCTATGACACTTTTGACAAATTGCTCAACCGTATCGCCTCATGCCGACTGCAAGTTTGACAGCTGAAAGTCAAGGATAGCTTTTATTTCAGCCGTGGTGATTATTTTTTCTACCCCTGCCATTCTGATGAAAGACGTGCAGATTCTCTCGTACGCATCCAGTTCTAATCAGACAATTGTTGGTTCTTGAATATGATTCATGAGATGTGACATCCTCGTAGCAGACAATATTGACATAACTATACACATTATATAAGCCCTTTGATAGTTTTTATCTCCTTGAGTAAACAATACATTGAAGTACACCATTATCTTATTTTATGTACGGCAAACAAAGAACCACTAAATGTGACAATGACAATTATTTATTAAAGTCTAATATTCTTCATGATATTTAACTTGACTTCTACCCCTGGAAGACGGGGTTACACGTAAGCTCAAGATTTTATTTTTCTTTCAAGATGGAAAACAATTTATTGGTTTACACAGCTATGATGATAAGAGCGGGACTACACCGTTAAAATGTATGTCAAATTGTAATTAGAAATGACAGTCAAAAATACAGAAAATAGATTTGATGATAAAACAATATATGATTAGAAGTTTACTAATGGAATTTTCAGAATAATATATTTCAATGTCATAATCATTTTCAATTCGTAGACTAATTACGAATACAGTGACATACTAAAAGTGTTATATAATTAGAGTCGAAAAGTATTTAAACTTTATTGTTTGTTTGTTCTTTTGCATGTGCATGTGCATGTGTGTGTACACATGCACTTCTTGCAAGTGTTTACATTATTGTATATTAAATTATCATATAGTGTGTTCATTCGATTTGTCATGGAATACAATATCGTACTTTATATGGTAGTGTTGAAATAAATCACATGTATTATGACGTATCAGGAACCACATTTTCATCAGCCATTTTGGTTATTTCATGGTTTCCACAACCATTTAATCTTGTTATGCCTTGTAAATATGTTTTATATGTTGTTTCAGAAATGGTAATAAATTAATTTATTCATTCATTCATTCATTCGAGTTTTAAAAAGTGACCAATGTATGACTGAACAAAGGGAATCTAAAAGAAAATAATGTTGTAATAGACACATTTTTTACTGATTATGAACAATAGTACACCCGATGATGAATCAAAATTGATTGGTCTCAAAGTCGTTTTTACCAGACTTGAATAGAGTACCGAAGTGATAACGTCATATTCACTCGTCATCCAGTTTACTGGTTCTAAACAACAAAGCCTGCGCATGAGGTTCACTGCAAAATCATTCCAGCAACGGACTGGAGCAGAGCAAAT